CTCTTCTCCTGGTTCACCAGGCGTTCTTTTACGTTAGCCAAAGATTTCTCCATGGCTTCGTAAGAGTGCATTTTCTGACGAAGGGGCTTCAGCTCGGCTTTAAATTTGGTGACGGTCCCCTCCAGCTCGTCGACCTTCTTTTGGGCCGCCTCTAGCTGAGCCCGAACAGCGGCGGTCGCCTGCGCCTGATAATAAAGAAGATCAATGGTCAGTACTTCATTTTGGGCAATTTGAAACATTGCTTTATCACAGCTGGAGGCGGCCATAGCCTTTGCGGCCTTTACCTCTTTGTTTTTCCGATCAATCGGCTTGCGAAGGCTGTTGACTCGGAGCAGGGCCTAAGTACAAAGAAAAACAGGCGTCAGTTTCCAATCAAAAGGGTTAACAGGCGTCCTGGAACTTCAAAAGGGTATACCTCAGCTAGGATCCCCGAAATTCCATCGAGGTCAAGGGTGCCGGCACCCTTGACCGCCTCCCTGTCAGAGGGAGGAACTACTTTAACCATTGACTTGGCTACCTCAACCAAGTCAAGTCCCTGGGGGCCGGCTGCATTAAGCAGAAGGAAAAACAAGTTAGACCTAATCAAGAAGGAAGCAAGAGTGAGTTTTTACAAGCAAGGGTCCATACATCTAGGCGGCCCCGCTTGGGTTTTTGAAGAAGTGGCCGGCTGCTTCTCAGCCGCCACTGTTTTCCTGGAAGACCCAGGAGAGCTTGCAACAGTCGTCCTCCGGGCCTTGGGGTCCGGCTGTTGCGAGGAAGAAGCCCTTGGAGTGCCAGACTGAAAACAAAAAGAGTTAGTATATGCATAATACAACTAAAAGGAGAAGAGTTTTCAAAGCTTACCAAGGGTGCCTCCTTGCTGGGGGAGTCGGCATACGACTGCTTCATTAGCGAGACCCGCAGCATGGCCGCCGCAGTCTTAGATGCTGTTATTTTACTCATGGCGTCGGCTGAAAGAAATAAACAGCAAAGTTAGTAAAAATCCCAAGTAAACAAGGCGTGAGAAAACAGAGTATTCGTCAGGCCGGCTACCTCTAGAGCACCGACTGCCGAGGCCACAGGCGGCCAAGAAGTACTCATCATAGAGCCACTTGAAGCTCGGGACGCAGTGTAGGGGTACTTGCTCTCGTACCCCTGAAGTAGAGTTCACCCTAGTCTCTACTTTGAAGAGTCCTTTGTCTAGGATCTCTCTTTTAGCCTTTGGGGGAACAGGCGGCATGCTGCGGCCGCCTGCAAGAAGAGGCGGATCCCTGTTCCACTTGTTAAAACGTTTGTTCAGCTCCGTGTCTGAACTCTCGATAATAAGGAAGGTGTTCCGCCAATCCTTCCATTTGTTTGCCTTACCTCTCGTCATGAGGTAACCCCTGTGGCTTGTTAGTTGATACCAGCCGGTACCTCCCGACTTAGGGGTCCGGCTGAGATAGTTCATGTGGGCGAAAGCCTCAAAACTTGGCTCCACCCCGTTCAGTTCGCACCCGGCCACATAGCCGAGTACGTTTACCCAAGAGTTGGGGGCTAACTGCCATAACCCCAGATCATACCCATCTAAAATCCGCTGAACAGCCGGATGTAATGGGAAGCGCAGACCAGCTTTGATGGCCGCCACATAGCAGCCAAAACAGCCGTCACCATAGCTGGTACCAGCCGGCCAGACGACAGTATCTTCTGGATCCGGCACAAACAGTAAATACTCCGGGCCCATTTTGTGGTTAGCAATAAAGCTCGCCACGTTGTCTCGCATGGTTGCGATCCGGCCCCGGGGCACCCTGCAGTAGTAGGGGGTGTTTTCCTCTCTGTAAGAGGCGGACGGCTCTGCCCAATTATCCCCCTTCTCCACTGCATGGGAACTTCTCGCCTCTTGTAGGCGGTTATGTTTTTCTTCTGAGTCAGAAGAACTATGGTTAGAAGAACTATGGTCAGAAGAGCTGGAATCGGACTCGTCCCCTGACGAGTCCGAAGAGGACGACGCCTCCCCTCTCCTAGAGGGGCCCGCCTCCTCTCCCTTAGAAGGAGCAGAAGGTAAATTAGACATGTCCACGGTTAGATGAGAAGGGAACACCTTGGTCCCTCTCTCAGAACTATCAGCTTGACAGTCGCCTCGTTCCACATCTGGCGCCTGGTCAGATGTTTCGCTAAGGAGTACCCTTTGGGAGGAGCCGTCTGAGTTTGATATTCTGGCAGTCTTTTTTGTTCTGGCCATCACGTTCTGCATAGACACAGATTCAGTCGGACTTTGTATAAAGGGCAAAGATGGGTCCAGAAAAGGGCAGGCGGCACTCCTAGTCCTAGATTCAGCCGTCCCCGGTGACCGGCTGATCACTAACTTAGGGCGTGTCGTGTGCTTCCATGGTGCCATTTCAAAAAATAAAAAGAAAATTAAGAGTAAGAGAACTGAGTTACCTGAACGGATGACAGTTGATGAAGTCCTGAAAGTTCGGGTCAGTCGGCTTGTCAGAACAGGCGGTAGGCAGAAAAAGTCCGAAAATGTCAGAGCAAGTTCAGGGGTCCGAATGTTCTCGCAAAAATTCTCAAATGTGAAAATGACCGAAGTCAGCACTTCCTTTTATAGGCAAAATGAGAAGGCGAAGGGTCGCTTCCGAATTCAAATTTGGGCGGGAGAGTCTCCCGGCCGTCTGCAAGGTGACACCTGTAACGGGCCGTCGCCTGTCACCGTGCGACGCCTGTCACAGGCGACACGTGACCAGTCGCGTGCCACCTGTGAGGGGCAAATGATTAGGGGATTTTTATCCACCAAGCGCCGTTTGACAAGTGGACCAACCAGGTTCCGCCACGCGTCCTCCACGGACCACTTAAGACACGCCACGTGTCCACCCATGCCAAATGGGACAACCGGCCATCAAGGCCCATTTCAGTCTAGAAGCCCGTTCGGCCCTAGGTTTACCTTAAACCTAGAGAGTTGCACGCTTCCCAAGGCTATAAATACTCGATTAATCCTCATTAATCAAGGGACCGAATAATTAACGGAACACACTAATAACCGGCTGATCTCGCTAGCAAAGCAGATTACCTACATTAAATACTCTCACCTAGAGAGACCTTATTACTTTAATTTCTGTATTAATTACTCCTTAATCAGGTACTAACTTGACCGTTGGAGGCGGAGCTCTCAGGAGTCTCCGTTATTTTGCAGGTACAGGCGTCCGGTTCCAGTCTCGGAATTGTAACTCTCCCGCAGGACATCAGAAAACCCCGAAACATGAACCACCAAACCCTCCCCCCCCCCAAAATCCTCCCTCCCCTGCAAAACCAACAAAAAACTCATCTCCCACCATAAAAAAACCCTAATCGAACCTCCCTTGCCATCGATAGGGGTTCGGTTAGGGTTTAGGGTGGAAGATGGGTTTTTGTTGGTTTTGCGGGGGAGGGAGTTCGGTGGTTTGCGGGGAAGAGGGATTTTGGGGGAGGGAGTTCGGTGGTTTAGCCAGCGCCGTGGAAGAGGGAAGGGGGTGACGTGTGGGGGAGGTTGGTCGGCACTGGGGAGTGGGATCTGGGCGCGGCTGGCGCCGAGGGCTAGGAGGGAGCAGGCGCCGGTGGTGGTTGGTGGCTGGTGGGGGAGATGTTTTTTTTTATAAATATTTTAACTGTTAATTAATAATCATTAAAGTTGTTATTAAGTGTTAATTACATTGTTAAACAAATTTATTAAAAAGAAAAAAGCAATTTAATCGGTCATTCAGGTTGCAGGTAAAATAACTTGTTTAAAGCGGAAAACCCCCAAAGTTTGTATTATTTAGAAATAATCAAAAGTTTGACTTGTTTTTAACGGATCGCTCAAAATTTGTATTATTTTTGATAATTTTTTTTTATTGCTAAATATCTTTAATTTCGTAATTAAATAAATCATGAAAATTACATAATAATAAAATACACCAAATTACTAATTTAACAAGACCCAAAATTAAATAAATTATGAAAATTACATTTTAATAGAATACACTTTATTACAAATTTAATAAGACTTAAGATATTATTGCACACACAAGGTTAAAGTTTAGTCAAATTGGACATCATATTAAACCAGATCAAATCAAATCATACTAGACCAGTTAAGTCCATGTTAGATCAGATAAGGAAAAGTAAGGTGAACTAAACAAGCCTTGACTCCTTAATGCGTTCACCTCACCAAAAGACTAATTGAAACTAAGAAAAATACAAACTATTTCTAGGATCAGCCGATCAGGTCAAACTAATTGCAGATTTTAGCTCAACGATTAACTTTGTAGTTAGGGGCTATTCAAAATTGCAAGAAAGTCCCTAATTAGGCCCCGTTCACTTCACCTTATTTTTGCTGAACTGAAATTATTTTCACTGAACTGAGATTATTTTTGCTGAACTTAAATTATTTTTACTGAACTTAAATTAATTTTACTGAACTGAAATTCCTTTTGTTGAACTGAAATTATTTTTACCGATTCTTTATTATATTTCTTCTTTACAGTAACTGATTTTTACTAAACTGAAATTATTTTTACTGAACTGAAATTATTTTTACTGAACTGAACTTATTTTTACTCAACTGAAATTGTTTTTTATTGAATATTATTTTTATAAGGTGAAGTGAACAGGGCCTTAGTGTAAGTACAAATATAGAATAACTCTTAGTTCTTAACCACTTGGATATTACTCCGTAGTAATTTATGTCTTAAAGTCACGAAATGCAAACAAGACACCATCTGATCCTAATATCAGACTCCAAACTGACAGTCAAGCTACTTATTCTAACCGCTAGAGTGCCCATTATATATTTATATAAAAGTCATGCCCATAATCTTAGACCAATCAAAGTCATTTGACTTTTAGACCCATTCAGAGTCATTTGACTTTTAGACCCATTCAAAGTCACTTGACTTTTAGACCCAACAAAAAGTCTAGGACTCCAGGTAACTTCTCATAATAATATTAATAAGGTTGTCTAAAGGGAGTATAGATATGCAATAACAAATGCATATTGAGGGACAAGCTTGTAAATTCAAATGCTCCAACTCACTTCCCGTAATACTTTATGTCAGCCCGTTTGCAGAAGTATCTGTATTTCTTTAGTGTATTTGAGGAGAGAATTGTACACCTTGTCTTTGTATTCGTATTTGGTCACATGCCCTTATAATTAGATTATTTTTTCTCTCTTTTCCATTTACTTCTCTCTGTCTTCTTTCTCGGTCTTCTCTCCCTGTCTTGCCTCTATGGTCATTCGCACGTACTCTGAATGAGAAAGTAGGCTCGCTACCTCCCTTCCATTTCCTCTATCATCGTGTTTTGCGGGCGCTGCGAGGTGAAGATTTGTTTCTGGGCTTGCTGTGTCGAGAATTCAAGCATTGTAGGCGAGTAATAGTGAGGATATTTTTTTTTTTTTAATTTTATAAATTTAATAGTTTTCCCCAAACTTATAATTCTATGAAACAATTTTAGTACTTTGTCAAAGTTAATTTCAATGTAGTTGTTTAACCTTAAAGTTAGGGTTTTTAAAATCTGCATGTTTTGGGTTTAATCCGGAACTAGTATTAGGGATTAAGAATTACATACATTTTGTTGATTTTAAGCACCCCAATTACAATTGTGAGAAGATTTGTTGTTGTTGTTGTTAGGGTTTGTATAAATGGTTTAGGGGGTTGTATTATTATGCGACAATTGTAAGAATTATGTGTATTTTGATCTTTGTAAGGCCAATTTATAAAGTTCTCCAAATTGTGGGTTTTTAAAATGGCAAAGAATGACGGGGTTTGTGGTTTTAAAAGAAAGTCCCCTAACTTGTTCCTCGTATTTTAATTATTTTGATATAAATGAGGTTTTGAATATCTGAGAAGAAGTAGTGCGTTCCCTTTTTTTAATTTGATTGTGCTTTTGAATCTGTGAGATGAAGTAGTTTGTTCCCTTATTTGAGATTCCTCTTATTTTGATTTAATTGAGGTATTGAGTCTGTGACATGAGCTAGTGTGTTCCCTTGTTTTGATGTAATTGAGCTTTTGAATCTTTGAGATGATGATGAGGGAGGTTGTTCCCTTGTTTTGATTTAATTGTGTTTTTGAGTCTGTGATAAGAACTATTATGTTCCTTTGTTTTGATTTAATTGTGTTTTTGAGTCTGTGATAAGAACTATTGTGTTCTCTTGTTATGGTGCAAAGCTTTGTTTTGGTTGTAGCTTTGTATTGGTTGTAGCATTGAATTGGTTGTATTGGTTGAGGTAAAAGCATTTATCCATGTTGCTAAGTACAGTTGTGGTCTTCTCCCTAGATTGTCAGGTTTGTATTCCTCGCAAAAGGTTATAAATAGAAAATCATGAGATCGAAGACAGTTGTGCGATCGAAGAGCTGGAAACACTTGGTGGTGAGCTAGTGTTGTGTGTTTGTATTTATATTCTAGTTAAATGTGGTGGGTGAATTATTAAATTTTCTCTGTGATTTTTACAATAGGATCCATCGACTTCTAAGCCCTCTGGTGAAGGGGGAGCTGAAGTGAAGGGGAAGAAAAACTCTAAAAAGAAGCCAAAGCAACCCAAGAACCATGTGAATGTGGATGATGAAGAAGATGACGAATAAAGTGGTTCTAGTAATAACTATTCTGATGGAAATAGTGAAGAAGAGTCGTGCACTCCCTCTGAGTTCATGAAGATGATGATGGGGTTCATGAAGAGTAAGAGTCGGAAGAGGAAAAGGCCAAAGGTATAGTGAGTATATAATTACCAATTAAGACACATATATTTATAGCATGCTTTAGTATTCTAAGAACTGGACTTATGAGATTTCACTTTTACTTTAAACGAGAAAGGTTGTATTGAATAAGTACAAATCAATGAATAAGTACAAATAAGTCAAGCTATTGAAGATAATGGTTGATAGTGGTAGGGGAAGATTAGATAATACATACTAATCTTCACTAATAATGTGTAGTTAAATCAAGCAATTAAACTAAATTGAGATCATATAAATTAGTAGCACAGAACTCCAAAGTGTGAATAATAATACCTATTAGTGTCCAAATTAAAGTACAGAATAAATTTGTATTTATGATTTGTATGTGTCTTATGTATACTTCCTCCTTTTGTGTGTAGTCGGAAAGGCAAAAGGTGTTGAGCGAAGGGGCAGTGTTGAAGACCCATCATGAGAACGTCGGAAAGGCATGATGTTGCAGCAGGTAATTTTATTTGGTGCATGTAACTGAGTAGTGTTTGCGGGGTGGGTACTTATGTATACTTCCTCCTTTTGTGTGTAGCAGTACCCCAACATTGTATGTAGGGTTGAATCTTTCTGCAAAGTAGTCAAAGTTTTTGATCTAAGAAGACGCGCGTTAGTGACAGAAATGGGGTTTGAAGGTCTCCTGGATCTTGACATGAAAAATATACCGAGCCAATTTTGCTATTGGTTGATGACAAGAGTGGTTCCTGATGGTACAATGGTGTTTGGCAACAGTGAGATCTTACCCTTAGGTCCTGCTCAAGTGAGGTCCGTACTTGGGTTACCAATGGATGCTGAAAAAGTCCATTTAGATATTGGTGAGAATGATGAGGAGCAGGTGCAGAAGATGAGAAGGAATTTTAATCTGTATGGTGTAGGTGCAAACAAAGAAACCATTTCGTTGAAATTTGCTTCAGATGCTTTATGTCCATTGGATGAATCGGGTGAACCAATTCCCCTTGCAGATGAAGTTGAAGAAGAGGATTTCATGACAACCTTTCTACTTGTAGCCCTTGGTAAAGTGGTTTGTGCAACCACTAATAATTCAAACTTCCCAAAGACACTCATTCCAGCATTGACAGTGGCTACCGAGGCTATCAAGTATGACTGGTGTTCATTGACTTTTGAATGGCTATGTGACACGGCTAACAGATTTCAAAGGAAGTTCCAAAAAGATGGTTATAGGTCTGGTTGTGGGGGCAGTTTGCTGTTCGCTATGGTGAGCCTTATTTGCCTTAATGTTGACTACTAAAATATTGTTCTACACCGCAGACTATTTATTTTCTTCTTTTACATGACTAAGTGTTTTAGTAGGAGAGTTGCATTAATTTATTTCCTGCTGGTAAATAGGTCAGATAATGTTCATATTCTTTTTGTCTCCTAATTTAGGTAAAGAGGTTAGAGAATATTAATTGTTGTTTTTGCCTTGCTTGGGTTATGTTCTTTTTCATGATGTAAAAAATATTATAAGCGGTGATTGTTATTTTTAAACTGGGTTTGCCATAGTTTTCTAATTTGTGTGTCTATGTATTAAGTTAAAATGATGAACCCTTTAATGCTACAAATGCCGAGGTCATTTGATATGTGTTTGTCTATAAGAATTCGATTGATATCTTGCTATATCAAATCAATTAATATTGTCTAATGATAAGAAACTCATTCTTACTCGATGATGTCAAACTCATTTACTTTGTGCTTTTGTTTCTTGTAGATTTATTATCTTGATCACTTGCATCGAGTTCCCTTGAAGTGGGGCGTTTACCCGAGGGTGAAGGTGTGGAACAGTGCTAAGGTGAAGGCAGTTGGTGTTAATAAGAAGGCGCCACTATTAGAGGATAGGGATCAGGCTTCGGTGGATGATGTCATTGTATTACCCTGGAAATTTCCTTCTTTTAAAATACTCTTTGTACTCTACATAGAACCCTTTTTAAGAAATAACCAAAATATTACCGCCACCGTGATAACGACTAAGGCAAATTTTTCAAAGTCACACAGCGGAAGTCTAAGAATAAAAACCAACTTTTAAAAATAAAACTTGAGTTCACAACCTCAAAACAAATGTAGAAATAAACATTCACAAGTTGGAACCAATTCAAACATGACCCTTCTTAAAAACCAATTAAAAATAAACATAATAATTTTAGTCCATAACAAATCAATAATTCAAAAATATTAAAACTAAGAAACATAACAAGTAACTCTCTGCACTCTATCTCATCGTGCTCTTCATGCTTCAAGTACCCGTTACTTCCTCTTTATTCAACCCTCTACTCACCATATAAATGGGTCATAGTAGGGCCAATCCAAAGGAAAGCCGAACACAAATAGCAAAGCATGAATCAGCAAAGCTGAGTATATATGCACCACACTAACATGAATAACCTAGAATCAAATAAAATATTTAAAACATACCCGCCACACAATCACAAGTCAACTTACCTTTGACTCATAACTAGCAATATTAATTATTAACATTAATTTTGGATTACGCATCGAACGGGTTTCCCTCCTTGAAAATAGCCCATTTAAATATTGAGCTTCCAATCAGGGAGCTACCCCAATTGGCACCTACTATGTCACCTTGTGACGGAATTCTAGCGCATTAATAATAAAAGAAAGTACAATGTCCTGTACCCCTGTAGAAGCTATGGTTAAATATAAAACTCCATAACTCCCCCCATATGTTCATACTCAAGGTATATACGTTCCAAGAGTTTTGTGCGTATCCTCTTACACTTTACGTGATTTACCAATTTAACTTGTGATGACCAAACCAATCAATCAAGAACAAACATAATAATAATCAATACATACTTCCAATTCATTCTTGAATTACCTAGTGATTATTTTAATTATGGTTCCTTGCCTAGTTTTGTGCACAAAATTGCACGATTACTACCTTGGTGCATAAGATGCACTACTAAACTTCCTTGACTCAAACTCAACTTACTTGAGTGAGTAAATAAATAAACTAACTTCTTGACTCAACACCAATAATAAATGGGTGAGAAATAAATTCATGAATCATGCTCAATAATTCCAACTTTAGCTCTTTCATTCATATATAAGCCTTGCTTATTAAATACATGCTTTCTTAATACTTAAAAATAAAACATACTTCCATGCTTCATACATACTCAACTTGTATCATGCCTCAAATAACATATTCACATGCTTGCATAACAAATCATGCTCAACCAACATCAATTCCAAGCATATAATTAACCAAACATGCTACTAATTCATCACTTAAATAACACTTTACAAATCCTAGCATGATACTACGCATACACAAATATTCTTGTGCACATACGTACCTTGAATAATGCCTAAACTCAGCCACACTCGCTAGAAATCAACTAGCTCGAAGCTTCCTACAAATAAGAATACATAACTATAACTAATCTACTATTCTCACAAATTTCCAGCAACTATAATACACTTTAAACGTTAAAATTAACCCAATTTTTGGTTTAAGGACACGAAATGAATAATTTTAGATTAAAACACTCTGGGTAGGACTAGAAATATGGTCAACGCTTAAGGAAACTTTGCGAGACTCTTCAACTCTTTACTGGACTCGTCAATCAAAACGTGAAAGGTACTCATCATTGGGTTTGGTTTTTTGGGGGATACACAATCAGGTGTCTACAGTTATGTACCACATCCTCTATGATGCGTTCCACCTCTTCCTCTCTTTCATTCGTCATAGGACCAGTCGCACCGGCATTCAAACTTGTTTTGCTTTGAGGAGAAAGTCCACCATAAAAGGTTTGAAGCACTTGGTAGTTGGGAATACCATGATGAGGGAATTGTCTTTGAAGTTCCTTGCACCTCTCCTAAGCTTCACACAAAGATTTTCCACTCTTTGACGGAACCGTTGAATTTTAGAACGAGCATCGGCAGTCTTCTTGTGATTGTAGAACCGTCCCAAGAAAGCGGTGGTGACTTCATTCCATGTTGTGAGAGAACCAGCCATCCTTTTTGAGCCAATGCTCGGCCATACCCGTGAGAGAAAATGGGAACATCTTAAGGCAAATGTACTTTTGAGAAACACCATTTGCCTTGATGGTATCACAATACTTGACAAATTCCTCGAGATGCTCACACTACAAGAAAAAGGTTAAATTTCGACGGAATGGTTCTGACGAACACGAAAATCCGTTGGAAAATACGAAATTTCCGACGGATTTAATTTCCGTCGGAAATTTTCGACGAATTCGGAATTTCTGTCGGAAAATTTAAATTCGTCGGAAAGTACTTAATATTTGACGGATTTATTCCGTAGGAAATTTCCTATGGATTGTTTTGTCAAATGTTTATGAGTTTTTGACGAAATTTAGGTTAAAAAAAAATCAAAACCCTAATTAATTTAAGTAAATAGTCAACCGCCCCTCTTACCCCTTCATTTCTCTCTTTTCCCCTCATTCTTGCTGTTCTCCTTCTCCCTCCTCCTCTCTTCTACCTTCTTCTTCTCCGCCCCTTCTTCTCCCTTTCCCCTTCTTTTTCCGTTTCTCCTTCTCCCTCCCCCTCTCTCTTCTCCCTTCTTCTTCTCACTCCTCCTCTCTTTTCTTCTTCGCCCCTTCTTCTTCTCCCTTTTCCCTTTCTTTTCCGTCCCTTCTTCTTCTGCGCCTCTTCTTCTCCCTTTCCCCTTATTCTCTGTTCTCTGGTTGACCTTCTATGTATGAAATCAATGGTTTTTTAGGTGAAATTCAACCATGAAAACTCTAGATCTAGAGTTTTCATGGTAGAATTTTGCCTTATAAACCCAATCTCGAAGTTTTATGGTGGAATTAAGGTATCTCTTTTTATTTTTATTTAATTTTGATTTTTATCTGGTTTCTTTTTTTTTTTTTTTTTTTTTCATGGTGGTGGTGGGTGGCGGCTTAATTTGGGGCAGAGTCTTGTGGTGAATTCGGGTTAGGGTTAGGGTTAGGGTTAGTGTTGTGGTGGCGTAGTGGGTGGTTGTGGTGAATTCAGGTTAGGGTTAGGGTTGAGGTGGTGGGATTTGCGGGCAGATCTGGGTTGGGTGGTAGCTTAGTGAGTGGTGGTGGGAGGTGGACAGGGGGTGGTGGGAGGTGTTTTATTTGAGGGTTATTTAATATTTCGTGGCGGTGGTGGTGTGGCCCAAAAATCGGCTTTTTTTTTTTCAAATTTTTCTCGCAGAATTTTCGATGGAATTTTCGTCGGATTTTCGGCAGACAAGACTCCGTCTGAATTTTCCGACGGACTTTTTCGGGTCGGAAAATCACTTTCGACGCTTGAATTCCGTCTAAAATCGTCGAAAAAGTGTTTCCGACGGAATTTGCATCGAAAAAGTTGTTTTTCCGACAAATACTTTTATGACGACAGTTTCCGATGTAATTCCGACGGAAAACAGGATGTTTCCGATGAAATTCCGTCGGAAATCACCTGTTTTCTAATAATGTCATGTGGGTTCTCAAATTTCCCACCTGGGAATTAACTCTGCTCGATCATAGAAATGAAAGTGGGTTTGATCTCGAAGTTGTTTGCTTGAGTGGTAGGGGCTAAGATCCCACATTGAGGTGTATAGGCCTCGGGAGTTCCTAGTGGCTTTATGACTCTTTGGTCTCCCATGTTGCGAGGTTACACACTCTCAAATTCAAAAGAGGAGAAAGGGTTGATCTCCGAACTTGTGGAAGAACTAGGGCTACCTCCTTCTTCACTTGAGGATGATGAAGGTGGGGCTGAAGAGTCTCTCACTACCTCTCGTGTGGGAGTATGAGAGTTCTTACTCCTTTCTCTCGCCTCTTTCCTTAGCAAAGTTAAAGAACGCTCCAATTCGGGATCAATGGGCACTAAAGACATTAAGCGGGTTCTGTTTCGGGGATCTTTAGGAATCCCTCGGGATACAGGTCGTGAATACAACCAGACGGTCTTGGACACCTGCAAAACAACAAATGTTCCGTTTGACGAAATATTCGCCTCCGACGATCAAGCTAGTGATAGGAAAACGAAAGTATTTAGAGAGAGAAAGTAGAGAGAAGTGAGAGCAAATTGCTTATCAATCTCAATCCAACCCTCCCATCGTAAATGATTGGGGTATTTAAAAGGGTGGGAATGTGTTCCCCTTAAGGGTTGGTGCCCTAAAAAGGAGTGACCTAATTGGCGGCGCAATCAGGTATGGACACGTGTCTTTGGGGGCGCCGTTATGGCGCCTTTCTCGGGATTTTGGCCTCCTGATGTAAGGAGGCTTTCTTTCATTCAGGTGTTCTCTTGTTTGCCACGTGTGATCTTCCTATTATGACACGTGTTTCCCTTTTATTGGGCCACGTGTTACTATGGGAATGGACCACGTGTTGGGGTATTTTTTTACCCTAAACATTTGCCCCTTAGAGGGGGTGGCTTGTACCTTACGGGTCGCCTCCTCTGATTTTCACTCGTCCAGGTTCATTTGAGTATCGGGCAGTTTAAGCATCATAATGGAAAGGAGATTGATTGTACCGTCCATTTAAACATGGGGTAATCCTTTTCGGCGGATTGCCTCTAGCCGTCTGCCTAATTTTATCTTTGGACCTAAGTGTTGAAATTAGATGGGGGGGGGGGAGGAGGGGGGGTGCCGCCTATGATCAGGTGGGACACCTGTCTTCCGCATTTTTCGGAGTAATGGTTCAGATTTTGCTGACCTGGCCGTCTATTTTGATGCGCCGTTTGGGTAACCATACGTCTTCCCGTTTTTATCAACAGAGCGATTTTTTAACTGTTTGAGCTTCTATGTTAAAGTTTTTTCAAAAATGACCGTTTGAGCTTCTGGGCGGGAAAGGTGATTTTACCATCTTGCCTCCATAAATTTTTCTTATAAATAAGACTTGTTTGACTTCATAAAATCACTTTGGAAATATGCGAATCTTAGAGAGAGATCAAGGCTTCTAGAGAGAAAGTGATTTCCTTCCCAATCTTCAAGAGCTCCGCCGTGACCTTGAATTTTCCGTTTCTCCTCATGAGGTCGGTCGTTCGCCTGGGACTGAGGAGTCTAGAGTGGACGGAGACGACTCCTTCTCTCTTTGGAGTAGGTCCATTTCTAGTGTGTACCAACTCACCCCCACCTATTATTCTTTGTCCGTACAGTCAAACATGGCGCGTACGAGACAAACGTACGAGCTTGATGCCGCTAGAAACCCAGACGACAGTATGATCAATCCCTTAGTCCCCTATGATCCAAGTAATACGAATGGGGAGAGTACATGTGCTACAACTAGTGGTAGTGCCTTTTCAAGAGTGGAGGTGACCGCCTCCTTGTCCGGGAAACATGCCCAACAAAACACCTTCTAGTGTTCTTCCAGACAGACCAGGGAGGGAGAGATTGTGGCGTTCGGGCCAAATCCGGCACAACGTCTTTCGCAATACACCATCTCGGTCCTGATGTCGTTCGAGCTGTTATTCTCAAAGGCATCCTTCAACAAATCAGGCGGACGCTAGGTCCGATTGAGTCGTCCGACCCAACTCCCCAACAACCCTCAACGCAAACTACCATATCGGCCAGGCCTAGGATTGGGATACATATTTCTGAATCGTCCGACCTGCCCCCTTGCAGTGATCCTCCTTCGGGAAATCAGAGGGATGCTGATTGAGGGAAGAAAGATAAGGGTAAAAGACCCTTGGTGCCTGAGGACACCATTTTTACTGAGGACGGCCAGAGTTCCATGGGGGAAGCTCGGCCGAGGCTGCCGCCCTAGACACAATAATTCGGCTCGGCTAGGGCCCCTGAACCTTAGGCCGCCGAACAAGAAGCTAAAAATCGGCGATGTTGCCCTAGGTTTTCTAAACCATAAATTTGAGAAGTTACAAGAATTCCTCCAACTTGGGGAAGGCTACCACATCGTGGCGCCAAGTTGCTTCCACTATGTGGCCGCCTAGGAAGGCAGAAGACAAAGGAAAAAATGTTTTAGTGTCTATCGCGCCGCCTTGGAAGTGGGACTTCGCTTCCCCTTACATCCATGTCCAGGCCTTGCTAGACGAATATAACATTGCTATTTTCCAGTTGGTGCCGAATAGTGGGTAAATATATTCGGCTATCTGGTGATGTGCGTGAGGCAAGGCTTTACTTTAGACGTCCCAGTTTTTTGTGAGATGCTTTACTATATTGCCAATTTTTCTCGGACACCGCTTCTTACTCTGGATTTGTCCTGTTCTCTTCAGGAGTCCTGGTGTGTTGTCAAAGTGAACACAAAATTAAACGTTATTCACCTTAACAAATAGCTAAGGCAAGTAAGAGTCGATCCCACGAGGAAAGTAAGTCTAAAATAACAAGTCACCACATCCAAATTCCACAAGAGTAACACGATTTTGGTGGTGGGGGGTTGATATGGGAAATCTAATCTAAAATAACTAAAGGAATAATAAATATAAGGGGTTATAACTAAAGAAAAAGCAATTAATGGAGAAAACACTCAGTAGATAGTCAGATTCCATCCATGGAACTTCGTAAAATCATTGACACATTAATTAACCCTCTAGGAACAGTTTTGACTTATGGAACAAGTTCCTCTGTTTTCCCTTATTAATGAATAGATCCGGTACGACTTTCACTAACCCTCACCAACAAATAACCCCTATACTACGAGCAAGGAATTTAACGTGTTGACAGCATTAGGAACTAGGAAAACATCAAGCCTAGACAACCATGACATTATTGGAACACGGTTTCACCTAGATCAAGAATTACTTTACAATTAATAGAGTGGAACGTCCTCCTCTACAATTGGTTGCTACTTCATTAACATTCCCAAGAAATTACGGACTTAGTAGTATTAATTAGCAATATAAATCAGACCCAAACAAATAGTTGCGCACCCACTTGTAAGAAATCATCATTCATAGAAATAAACAGTAATTCAAGAATATTCCCAAAATATTAACTATTAATCATTAAAACCAAACTAATTTGTCTTAAATACGAATTACATGGCTTCCTCTAACTACTACTGAGCATAAAGAATTACTCACTCATGTTAAAGAGCAAAGAAGAAAAGGTTTTGGAGAAAAACATGCCGAGTTCCTCTAGGCAGTTCCTTCTAAACGTGAGCACAAGTGAGAGATGAACGAAGAATGGATGCTTTAAACGCCGAATAACTTTGGGGTTTTATAGAATTGTGATAGAACTATTCCTCAAGTAAAAATCCCTAAAAATATGGAAGATATTCTAAGATAAGAAAGTAGTTGGATAGAATCTAGGAAATTTTATCTTTTGCCAAATCTTTTCATAAATGATAGGATCTTCTTCTTATAAAAATATCTTCCTTCCAGCTGTAAATATTCAAGAATTATTCTCCAAGTAACCAAATATCACGTTGCAATGAATCTGGACAAATCTCGGACTACAAGTAAGTTCCTTTGCGTCTACGTCAGTCTTCCAGTTCCTCCGAAGGAACTCAGCATATATTCATTTGCATTTGACATTGGCTCCTTTATTCAGTTCATCTTTTTATCATCTAAAATGACTCTTTAACTTATAAAAACACACAATAAGGAAACAAATCACAAAATACCAATAACATAGATAAAAGCACGAAAATGCTAAAGGAACCAACCTATAATCTAAAGAACATGACTAGAAAATAGAGTCATAAATGACACTTATCAAATTCCCCCACACTTAGATCTTTGATCGTCCTCGAGTAAAGCACTTACAAAATAAAAAGAGAAGATAGACTACATACCACCATACCTCTCGTATAAGACATTTACTCTTAAGTACTCAACAATAAATTAAAACACCTTTTTGTTTTTCTTTCTCCATAATGAACCATAAGCTTATTTATTAGATTAGCAAGCTATGCATACAACTTCCTCCCATACTCTAGCAATTTCAAAAACATATATATCACAATTAACTTATAAGAAATCTAGGTGCTCGAGTGCAAGTGTATTAGCCTATAGAATTAGGTGGATTAAATAAGCAAAGGTCCTTCCCAACATCACCACATCTTAAGACAACAAAGTAGTGCTCCAAATTACTTACAAGTTGAATTTCAAAAAAAACACTTTGCTTGTCACAATTGCTAGAGAGAAAATCTTTTGTGCATAACTTTAAAAACATCATCAATTTTTTTTTTTCATTTTTTCCTTCTTCTTATTTATATTTTTTAAAAATCAATTAGATTAGAATTTACCGTTTTTCCTTAGAGTATGTCTTTCCCAGAAGTTTAGAGGTGGTATCCTAACAAAAACATGCATGTTCCTCCCCCCACACTTAAATTACATTGCCCCCAATGTAAGAACTTAACATGCAACAGGAAATCATATAGGAGCAGCCATGAATTATTTAGCAACTAAGAAAACACTAAAAGAGAGAGAAAAGAAACATCCTTGGGTTGCCTCCCAAGCAGCGCCCTTGTTTCGTGTCCTAGGCTAGACAGTTCCTGCTTACTTTGGATCCACAAGTTCTAGTTCCTCTACGAGGAACACTGAAACTCCTTCATAGTAAGGCTTCAATCGATGTCCATTGACCTTCAAAATCTTATTTGTGTCCCAGTTGCGAATCTCTACTACACCATGAGGATAAACATTAGTATCAACAAAGGGTCCCAACCATCTAGATTGTAACTTATCAGGGAACAATTTCAATTTAGATTGAAAAAGTAAAAATTTATCACCAACATAAAATGTTTTTCTGGTTAGCATCTTATCATGATACAACTTTATTTTATCCTTGTAAATCTGAGCATTTTCATAAGATTCCAATCGAAGTTCCTCAAGTTCCTGTAGGTGCAACTTTCTCTCAGTTCCTGCTTGGTCATAGTCCATGTTACATTCTTTGATAGCCCAAAAATATTTATGTTCAATTTCAACCAGGAAGATGACAAGACTTACCAAATACCAAACGATATGGGGACATACCTATGGGTGTTTTATAAGCAGTTCTATAAGCCCATAAAGCCTCATCAAGTCTAAGACTCCAATCCTTCCTATTAAGCCTCACTACCTTTTTTTAAAATGGACTTAATCTCTCTATTAGACACTTCAACTTGCCCATTAGTTTGGGGATGATATGCAGTGGAAAGCTTATGGGTCACATGATATTTTGCCAACAAGTTCCTTAGGGTACTATTGGCGAAGTGTGTTCCTCTATTACTAATGATTGCTTTTGGAGTTCCATACCTATTAAGAATTCGACTCTTGACAAAATTTACCATAGTTTTAGCATCATCAGTTTTAGTAGCTTTAGCTTCTATCCATATAGACACATAATCCACAGCCATAAGAATGTAAACAAAACCAAAGGAAGAGGGAAAAGGACCCATGAAATCAATGCCCCATACATCGAATATTTCACAAACCACTATGTTTTGCAAGGGCATTTGGTTCCTACCAGTTAAGTTCCCTGTATGTTGGCATTGGTCACAGTTTCTACAAAACATATATGCATTCTTAACAAGGGTGGGCCAGTATAGTCCACTTTCTAAGACTTTGTGTGCTGTTCTCCTAGGTCCAAAGTGTCCACCACATTCAAAAGTATGACAATAACGTAACACAGATTCAAATTCATTGTCATTCACACATCTCCTAATGCATTGATCAGAACAAAATTTCCTCGAATAAGGATTATCCCACAAATAATACTTAGCCTCTGATTTTATCTTTTCCTTTTGAGTTCTTGTTAATTCCGAAGGCAAGTTCCTTCTAACAAGGTAGTTGTTGACAATATCAGCATACCAAGGAACTTCTGTAGAAACAACATATAAATATTCATCAGGAAAATAGTCATTCAAAGGTAAAGTATGTTCCTTTTGGACCATACGACTCAAATGGTCAGCAACATGGTTTTCCGCTCCCTTCTTATCTTTGATTTGCAAATCAAGTTCCTGTAGCAATAAAACCCATCTAATCAATCTAGGTTTAGCTACCGATTTAGTAAATAAATATTTCAGTGCAACATGATTAGTGTACACAACTACCTTAGTTCCTAACAGGTAGGAACGAAACTTCTCTAAAGCAAAAACAATAGCATAAGGTTCCTTTTCAATAGTGGTATAATTACATTGAGCAGGATCAACGGTACGCGAAGCATAAGAAATTACAAATGGAACTTTACCTTCTCTTTTCCTTAACACGCTCCAACAATATTATCACTTGCATCACACATAATCCAAATGGTAAGTTCCAGTTAGGAGGTTGCAAAATAGGAGCCGACGTGAGTCGTAAATTTAGTGTATCAAAAGCTTCCTTACATGGATACTCAAAATTAAACACAGCTTGGCCAAAAGATTACACAAAGGAGATGCAATTTTGGAAAAATCCTTAATAAATCTACCATAAAAAACCAGCATGCCCTAAGAAAGATCTAACATCTTTAACACATGTAGGGTACGGTAAGGAACTTATAGTTTCTATCTTAGCTTTATCAATTTCTAATCCCTTAGATGACACTATATGACCAAGTACTACACCTTGTTCCACCATGAATTAACATTTTTCAAAATTAAGAACAAGATTAGTTTCATTGCATCTTTGTAGTATCATGCTTAAATTAGATAGGCATATATAAAAAGAATTTCCATGCACAGTAAAATCATCCATGAACACTTTCATGTTATTTCCTACAAATTCAGAAAATATGCTCATCATACACCTTTGAAAGGTGGCCGGAGCATTGCACAAACTAAATGACATTCTTCTAAAGGCATAAGTTCCAAAAGGGCAAGTAAAAGTGGTCTTTTCTTGATCTTCCGGAGCTATGACAATTTGAGTATAACCTGAATACCCATCCAAGAAACAAAAGTGAGATCGACTTGCAAGACGTTCTAACATTTGATCAATGAAAGGAAGGGGGAAATAATCTTTTCTAGTAGCAGCATTAAGCTTACGATAATCAATGCATACCCTCCAACCATTTTTTACTCAAGTAGGAACTAACACTTTGTTTATTTTCAACAACTGTCATAACAGATTTCTTAGGAACAACATGTATTGGACTTACCCATTTAAAATCAGATATGGGGTAGATTACACCTGCATCGAGCCATTTCAAAATTTCCTTTTTAACAACTTCCATCATAGGGGGGTTCAATTGGCATTGAGCCTCCCTAGAAGATTTAACATTATCCTCAGAAAGAATGTGATGCATACATAAAGAAGGGATAATTCCTTTAATATCAGCAAGAGTCCAACCAAAAGAACCCTTAAATTTCTTAAGGACAATCACCAATCGTTCCTCTTGGGATGGGGACAATGCATTAGAGATAATAACGGGAAGTGTTTCCCCATCACCTAAGTAAACATATTTTAGATTGTCCAGCAGAGGTTTGAGTTCCAATTTGGGTGTCTGCACAAGAGAAGGAACAAGTCAGAAAGAGGTATATCAACAACAGGAGAATTAGGGTTCAATTTCGGCGAGGAACTGATGCTATTTACAACACCCATGAGTTCCTTGTCTATCAAGTTCATCTCATGTTTCTCAACATAATTCTTATCTAAGCTTTCCTGAATCACAAGTCCAAATCATCTTCCCTGTTTAATTCAAACATCATTTCTGCTAGTAAATTAATAGTATCAATTGAACACACAGAATCCACATCAGTAGGATATCTCATGGCATCAAAAATATTGAATTTAATAATATCACCATCAAATTCCATAGTTAAGTTCCCTTCATGCACATCAATCTTAGTTTTAGAAGTTTTCAAGAAAGGTCTTTCTAACAGTAAATGAACTTCCCAACGATTAATAGCATGCTCATCTCGCATGTCAAGTATATAAAAATCAGCAGGGAACACCAATTCATTAACTTGTACTAACACATCTTCTAAAATTCCTATAGGATATGCATTACTTCTATAAGCAAGTTGAATGATCAAAATACTTTCTTTTAAAGGACCAACATTCAAGGAATCATTTACGGATTTAGGCATGACATTAATAGATGCACCTAAATCTAACATGGCTCTCTCAAATGTAGTCTCTCCAATTTTTCAAGGGAATAGAAAACATACCTGGATCTTTGCATTTAGGAGGTCATTTCTTTTAGAGAGCTGTAGAAATGTTCTCCCCCACATTTACCTTTTGAGTTCTTGTCAATTTCTTTTTGGAAATACAGAGTTCCTTCACGAACTTAGCATAACGAGGAACTAGCTTTATAGCATCCAGTAGAGGAATATTTACATCTACTTTGCGAAAAGTTTCCAGAATTTCTTTGTTAGCATCTTCCTTCTTTAACTTTGCTAACTTGCTAGGAAAAGGAACAATAGGAGTATATTTATAGTTAGCCAAATCAAGAAGGGGGGGGGGGTGGTCAAAGGAAATTCCCTTTTTCTTTGGTGCAACATTCTGTGAATCGTGTTCCTGCTCATGTTCCTATTCAAGTTCCTTGACAGGTTCCACCACTTGTTCCTGTTCCAACTCACGGTTCACTTGTTCCATTTTCTTAGGTTCCTATAATTCTCTTCTATTCCTTAAAGGTTACATCATTGGCACTTTCTTTTGGGTTTACTAAGGCTTGTGATGGAATTTTATTAGAATTTTGGGAAGTGGAACTGTTAACAAAGGTGGCTATTTGTCCAATTTGAGTTTCCAAGGTTTTAAGTCTTGCATCAGTTTGCAAATCTAATTGTCGTACAAGTTCCTCAAGGGATGAAGAAGAACTCGACCCTTGGTTTTGTGTAGGTTGTTGGACATTATAAGGCCGCCTAAAGTTAGATTGATTTTGGTTAAAAACCTGGTGGATTTTCCTTGTTCCCATACCTAAGATTTGGGTGATCTCTCCATCTCTCATAATAGGTATTAGAAAATGGGTCATATTTCCTTTGTGGAGCTCTAGGAAATCCTCCAACAGCATTCACTTCATCAACCTGCAATGTTGGACATGCATCAGTATGATGGGTACTATCATTGCAAATTCCACATACCATAGCAACCTGAGTTCCTGAGGCAAGATTACTCAATTATGAAATTTGTCTAGAATTTTCAGCAAGAGAAGCTTCTAAATTATGCACACCAACTTCATTGACTAACTTAGACACAACATCATTCCTAGTTCCATAACGTTGAGAGTTTTGTGCTATATTAGAAATCAATTTTTTCGCTTGTTCAGGTGTTTTATCAATTAAGGCACCACCACTAGTAGCATCAATCATGTTCCTATCATTAGGCAAAAGTCCATCATAAAAATGTTGAATCAACAATTTTTCACTGATTTGGTGTTGGGGACAACTAGAACAAAGTCTCCTAAATCGTTCCCAATATTCAAATAAAGTCTCATCTGAAGATTGTTGAGTTCCACATATTTTCTTTCTTATGGATCCTATCATAGATGTAGGCAAAAAGTCCTCTAGGAATTGTTTATGCAATTGTTTCCATGTAGTGATGGATCCAGATTGTAAATGACATAACCAATCCCTAGCAGAATCTAGCAAAGTGAATGGAAAAGCCAAACAAAATATCATCAAAAACCACTCCTTCAGTTCTTTGCGCAGAACAAGTCATAAAAAATGCCTTTATATGCATTAATGGATCTTCACCCTTAAGGCCATGAAATTTAGGAAGCAAGTTAATAAAATCAGAGCCATCTCAAAGAATTTGTCAAGTTCCTAATCAAAATCAATTTTCGCCTCCCTTCTTAACCTGCGCAAAGTTTTCCTTATTTCTGGATCAAATTTCAACAAAGCAAGATTAGTAGAACAAATATTGATCATATACTAACAAGAAACTTTCTAAAAGAAAAACAATGGAACTTTAGAATATAACAAATTACCAAAGGGAACAACTTTCCCCAACAACGGCGCTAAAATTTGGTGTGTTGTCGAAGTGCA